TTTTAGAGAGGGTGTGGTAGGTAAGTTTGGGGTGCCAGGTGTAAATGATAATGGGAGCCCTTTGATTGAACTTTGTATAGAAAGGGGTTTAGTTATAGGTAATACATATTTTAAGAAAAAGAGGATAAATAAGTATACAAGATATGATGTAGAGCGAAATGACAGTAGTTTGTTGGATTATGTATTGGTAGATAAAAGACTGTTGAGTAGACTTCAGGATGTACATGTTTATAGAGGGGCCACAGATATATCAGATCACTTTCTAGTTGTAGCTACACTGAGAGTAAAAGGTAGATGGGATACAAGGAGAATAGAAGCATCACGGAAGAGAGAGGTGAAGGTTTATGAACTAAAAGAGGAGGCAGTTAGGGTAAGATATAAACAGCTATTGGAGGATAGATGGGCTAATGAGAGCATAGGAAATGGGATCGAAGAGGTATGGGGTAGGTTTAAAAATGTAGTGTTAGAGTGTTCAGCAGAAGTTTGTGGTTGAAGGAAAATGGGTGTGGGAGGGAAGAGGAGCGATTGGTGGAATGATGATGTAAAGAGAGCAGTAAGGGAGAAAAAGATAGCATATGAGAAGTTTTTACAAAGTAGAAGTGATGCAAGGAGGGAAGAGTATATGGAGAAAAAGAGAGAGGTTAAGAAAGTGGTGAAGCAATGTAAAAAGAGAGCAAATGAGAGAGTGGGTGAGATGTTATCAACAAATTTTGTTGAACATAAGAAAAAGTTTTCGAGTGAGATTAACAAGTTAAGGAAGCCTAGAGAACAAATGGATTTGTCAGTTAAAAATAGAAGAGGAGAGTTATTAAATGGAGAGTTAGAGGTATTGGGAAGATGGAGGGAATATTTTGAGGAATTGTTAAATGTTGATGAAGATAGGGAAGCTGTGATTTCGTGTATAGGGCAAGGAGGAATAACATCTTGTAGGAGTGAGGAAGAGCCAGTTGTGAGTGTGGGGGAAGTTCGTGAGGCAGTAGGTAAAATGAAAGGGGGTAAGGCAGCTGGGATTGATGGGATAAAGATAGAAATGTTAAAAGCAGGTGGGGATATAGTTTTGGAATGGTTGGTGCAATTATTTAATAAATGTATGGAAGAGGGTAAGGTACCTAGGGATTGGCAGAGAGCATGCACAGTTCCTTTTTATAAAGGCAAAGGGGACAAAAGAGAGTGCAAAAATTATAGGGGGATAAGTCTGTTGAGTATACCTGGTAAAGTGTATGGTAGAGTTATTATTGAAAGAATTAAGAGTAAGACAGAGAATAGGATAGCAAATGAACAAGGAGGCTTTAGGAAAGGTAGGGGGTGTGTGGACCAGGAGTTTACAGTGAAACATATAAGCGAGGGTCTTGGCAAGAGGTGTGGAGTTAAAAGATAAAGAATCACACATAAAGTGGGAGTTGTCACAGTTGCTCTTTGCTGATGACACTGTGCTCTTGGGAGATTCTGAAGAGAAGTTGCAGAGATTGGTGGATGAATTTGGTAGGGTGTGCAAAAGAAGAAAATTAAAAGTGAATACAGGAAAGAGCAAGGTTATGAGGATAACAAAAAGATTAGGTGATGAAAGATTGGATATCAGATTGGAGGGAGAGAGTATGGAGGAGGTGAATGTATTCAGATATTTGGGAGTGGACGTGTCAGCGGATGGGTCTATGAAAGATGAGGTGAATCATAGAATTGATGAGGGGAAAAGGGTGAGTGGTGCACTTAGGAGTCTGTGGAGACAAAGAACTTTGTCCTTGGAGGCAAAGAGGGGAATGTATGAGAGTATAGTTTTACCAACGCTCTTATATGGGTGTGAAGCATGGGTGATGACTGTTGCAGCGAGGAGAAGGCTGGAGGCAGTGTAGATGTCATGGCTGAGGGCATGTGTGGTGTGAATATAATGCAGAGAATTCGTAGTTCGGAAGTTAGGAGGAGGTGCGGGATTACCAAAACTGTTGTCCAGAGGGCTGAGGAAGGGTTGTTGAGGTGGTTCGGACATGTAGAGAGAATGGAGCGAAACAGAGTGACTTCAAGAGTGTACCAGTCTGTAGTGAAAGGAAGGCGGGGTTGGGGTCAGCCTAAGAAAGGTTGGAGGGAGGGGGTATAGGAGGTTTTGTGTGCGAGGGGCTTGGATTTCCAGCAGGCATGCGTGAGCGTGTTTGATAGGAGTGAATGGAGACAAATGGTTTTTAATACTTGACGTGCTGTTGGAGTGTGAGCAAAGTAACATTTATGAAGGGGTTCAGGGAAACCGGCAGGCCGGACTTGAGTCCTGGAGATGGGAAGTACAGTGCCTGCACTCTGAAGGAGGGGTGTTAATGTTGCAGTTTAAAAACTGTAGTGTAAAGCACCCTTCTGGCAAGACAGTGATGGAGTGAATGATGGTGAAAGTTTTTCTTTTTCGGGCCACCCTGCCTTGGTGGGAATCGGCCAGTGTGATAAAAAAAATGTATGAAAGAGGGGAAGGTACCTAGGGATTGGCGGAGAGCATGTATAGTCCCTTTATATAAAGGGAAGGGGGACAAAAGAGACTGTAAAAATTATAGAGGAATAAGTTTACTGAGTATACCAGGAAAAGTGTATGGTAGGGTTATAATTGAAAGAATTAGAGGTAAGACAGATTGTAGGATTGCGGATGAGCAAGGAGGTTTCAGAGTGGGTAGGGGATGTGTAGATCAAGTGTTTACATTGAAACATATATGTGAACAGTATTTAGTTAAAGGCAGAGAAGTTTTTATTGCATTTATGGATTTAGAATAGGCATATGATAGAGTGGATAGGGGAACAATGTGGCAGATGTTGCAAGTATATGGAATAGGTGGTAAGTTACTAAATGCTGTAAAGAGTTTTTATGAGGATAGTGAGGCTCAGGTTAGGGTGTGTAGAAGAGAGGGACACTACTTCCCGGTAAAAGAAGGTCTTAGACAGGGATGTGTAATGTCACCATGGTTGTTTAATATATTTATAGATGTTCGGGAGAGGGGTGGGATTAAATTATGGGGAATCAAATACAAAATGGGAACTGACACAGTTGCTTTTTGCTGATGATACTGTGCTTATGGGAGATTCTAAAGAAAAATTGCAAAAGGATAGTGGATGAGTTTGGGAGTGTGTGTGAAGGTAGAAAGTTGAAAGTGAACATAGAAAAGAGTAAGGTGATGAGGGTATCAAATGATTTAGATAAAGAAAAATTGGATATCAAATTGGGGAGGAGTATGGAAGAAGTGAATGTCTTCAGATACTTGGGAGTTGACGTGTCGGTGGATGGATTTATGAAGGATGAGGTTAATCATAGAATTGATGAGGGAAAAAAGGTGAGTGGTGCGTTGAGGTATATGTGGAGACAAAAACCGTTATCTGAGGAGGCAAAAAAGGGAATGTATGAAAGTATAGTAGTACCAACACTCTTATATGGGTGTGAAGCCTGGGTTGTGAATGCAGCAGCGAGGAGACGGTTGGAGGCAGTGGAGATGTCCTGTCTAAGGGCAATGTATGGTGTAAATATTGTGCAGAAAATTCGGAGTGTGGAAATTAGGAGAAGGTGTGGAGTTAATAAAAGTATTAGTCAGAGGGCTGAAGAGGGGTTGTTGAGGTGGTTTGGTCATTCAAAGAGAATGGATCAAAGTAGAATGACATGGAGAGCATTTAAATCTGTAGGGGAAGGAAGGCGGGGTAGGGGTCGTCCTCGTAAAGGTTGGAAGGAAGGGGTAAGGGAGGTTTTGTGGGCGAGGGGCTTAGACTTCCAGCAGGCGTGCATGAGCGTGTTCGATAGGAGTGAATGGAGACGAATGGTTTCTGGGACCTGACGATCTGTTGGAGTGTGAGCAGGGTAATATTTAGTGAAAGGATTCAGGGAAACCTGTTATTTTTATATAGCCGGACTTGAGTCCTGGAAATGGGAAGTACAATGCCTGCACTCTAAAGGAGGGGTTCGGGATATTAGCAGTTTGGAGGGATATGTTGTGTATCTTTATACGTATATACTTCTAAACTGTTGTATTCTGAGCACCTCTGGAAGAACAGTGATTATGTGTGAGTGTGGTGAAAGTGTTGAATGATGATGAAAGTATTTTCTTTTTGTGGATTTTCTTTCATTTTGGGTCACCCTGCCTCGGTGGGAGACGGCCGACTTGTTAAAAAAAAAAAATCAGTGTGCTTGTTTATTATTAAATTATTGCAAACTTATATAAAATATATTTAGTTGGATTAGGCTAAATTAAACTGCGCTTTTTACGATAAGGTAAGTTTTCTAAGGTTCCTTTGGTACAAAATTATTAATTTTTGCATTAACACAACAGAAAAAATACATATCTTTAAACGTATAAGAATTTTTTTTAGATAGGACTAAATTTTAAATGAGTTCTTGCTAATTGATAAGTTTTACCTATTCGGCACTATATAAATATACACACTATATAAATCACAATATAAATCTACACACACAAACTTGGAGGAGAGGAAGCCTTTATTAACAACATTTCGATCTTGGAAATCAATTTTACAGTTAAATTCTGCTGGAGCGAAAATAAAGATCTACTCTGCTCTTTTCATTACTTATATCTGTTGGCCCAAATATTAGTTTTCATGAACCGGAAGAGGCTTAGGCCTTAGTAAACGTATGATCCACATATATTTATCTTTTGTTTTAAACAACAGGAACGTAATAATAATAATAATAATAAATCGATTAATCTCTTAGCGAAAATTGTACTATTAGTGTATAATGCTGTGAACATAAGAGCATAAGAGCATAAGAAAGGAGGAACACTGCAGCAGGCCTGTTGGCCCATACTAGGCAGGTCCTTTACAATTCATCCCACTAACAAACATTTGACCTACCCAATTTTCAATGCCACCCAAGAAACAAGCTCCGATGTGCAAGTCCCTCTCAAATCCAACCCCTCCCACTCATGTACTTATCCAACCTAAATTTGAAACTACCCAAAGTCCTAGCCTCAATAACCCAACTAGGTAGACTGTTCCACTCATCAACTACCTTCACTCATGGCTTGCAGGAGCTGCTCAGATGTGGTGGGTTGCCAGCTGGTTGGCAGGGATGGTTGCCGACACGGACAAGATGTTGTGGGCGGCGTGTGTCGCCCTCATCTGCTGCGTGTGCGCGCTGTGGGCGTGGCAGCTCTCCATCAGGAACCTTCCACCAGGACCCTGGGGACTTCCCCTGGTGAGATGCTATCCTGGGTTTGTTTTTACTCTCGGGTAATTACACACTAGCACACACATACACACACACACACACACACACACACACACACGCACACGCACACGCACACGCACACGCACACGCACACGCACACGCACACACACTAGGTGAGTACACACACACACATATGCACACACACACACACACACACACACAGACACACACACACACACACACACACACACACACACACACACACACACACACACACACACACACACACATGAAAGAATCAAAGAGACATCCTCAGACATAATAGCACTCACAGAAACAAAACTCGCCAGGAAAATAACAGATGCAATCTTTCCACCCGAATATCAAATCCTCAGGAAAGATAAAGGGAGGAGAGGGGGAGGAGGAATTGCACTGCTCATTAAAAACCGGTGGGGATTTGAGAAAATGGAAAGAACGGATGGTATGGGTGAAAGGGACTACTTAGAAGGAACAATCCAGTCTGAGGGCCATAAGGTGGTATTTGCAGTAATGTACAACCCGCCACAGAACTGCAGGAGGCCAAGAGAAGAATACGATGAGAGCAACAAAGCAATGGGTGACACACTAGCCTAGGTGGCCAGAAGAGCTCACATGGGGGGAGCAAAGTTACTAGTTATGGGTGATTTCAATGACAAGGAGACTGAATGGGAAAACCTGGAGCCCCATGGGGGTCCCGAAACATGGAGAGCCAAGATGATGGATGTGGTACTGAAAACCTCATGCATCAACATGTTAGAGACACTACCAGAGAGAAAGGTGAGGATGATCCAGGAAGACTGGACCTTGTATTCACCTAGAGTAGTTCGAACATCGAGGATATCATGTATGAAAGGCCCTTACAGCTAGTGATAATGTGGTTCTGTGCTTTGACTACATAGTTGAGCTACAAGTGGAGAGAGTAGCAAGAATAGGATGGAAAAAAGCAAACTACAAACGGGGGGACTACTCAGGCATGAGGAATTTCCTGCAAGACGTTCAGTGGGAGAGAGAACTGGCAAGAAAACCAATAAAAGAAATGATGGACTATGTGACAACAGAATGCAAGGAGGCATAGGAGAGGTTTATTTCCAAGAGAAACAGAAATAATGGGACGGCCAGAACGAGCCCTTGGTTCACCCAAAGGTTTAAGGAGGCAAAAACTAGGTGTACTAGAGAATGGGAAAGGTACAGAAGACAAATGATCCAGGAAAATAGAGAGATCAGTCGAAGAGCCAGAAACGAATATGCACTGATAAGAAGGGAGGCTCAGCGAGAATACGAAAATGACATAGCATCGAAAGTCTAACCCGAAGCTGTTGTATAGCCACACGAGGAGAAAAAAAAGGCAAGGACCAGGTAATCAGACTGAGGAAGGATGATGGGGAGTTCACAAGAAACGACCAAGAGGTATGTGAGGAGCTAAACATGAGATTTAAAAAAGCATTTACAGTGGAAACAGGAAATTGGAATAGGGAGATACACCAACAAGTGCTGGATGAGGTACACATAACCGAAGAGGTGAAGAAGCTATGTGAACTTGATACCTAAAAGGCGGTGGGACCAGACATCTCTCCGTGAATCCTTAGAGAGGGAGCAGACGGAGTACAGTCTAGGGGGCCAGAGACTACAGACCTCACTCAAGGAAAAAGATCTAGGGGTGAGTATAACACCAGGCACATCTCCTGAAGAGCACATCAACCAAATAACGGCTGCAGCATATGGGCGCCTAGCAAACCTCAGAACAGCATTCCGACATCTTAATAAGGAATCGTTCAGGACCCTGTACACCGTGTACGTTAGGCCCATATTGGAGTATACGGCACCAGTTTGGAACCCACACCTAGCCAAGCACGTAAAGAAACTAGAGAAAGTGCAAAGGTTTGCAACAAGACTAGTCCTAGAGCTAAGAGGTATGTCCTACGAGGAGAGGTTAAGGGAAATCAACCTGACGACACTGGAGGACAGGAGAGATAGGGGGGACATGATAACGACATACAAAATACTGAGAGGAATTGACAAGGTGGACAAAGACAGGATGTTCCAGAGATTGGACACAGTAACAAGGGGACACAGTTGGAAGTTGAAGACACAGATAAATCACAGGGATGTTAGGAAATATTTCTTCAGCCACAGAGTAGTCAGTAAGTGGAATAGTTTGGGAAGCGATATAGTGGAGGCAGGATCCATACATAGCTTTAAGCAGAGGTATGATAAAGCTCACGGCTCAGGGAGAGTGACCTAGTAGCGATCAGTGAAGAGGCGGGGCCAGGAGCTCGGACCGACCAGTAATATAATGTGTACTTAGTAATTACACAGTGTTGTAGTTAGCAACTAACCAGTAATATAATGGTACCTTAGTAACCTTACCACAGTGTTGTCCAGTAGCATCTATCAGTAAATATAATGTACTTAGTAACTTTACACAGTTTGGTAGTAGGACAACTAACCAGTAAATAATGGTAATTAGTAATATACCACAGTGTTGTAGTGCAACTAACCAGGTAATATAATGGTACTTAGTAAACTTACCACTAGTGTTGTTAGTAGCAACGAACCAGTAATATTATGGTACTTAGTAACCTTACCACAGTGTTTGTAGCTTAGCAACTATCTAGTAATATAATGGTACTTAGTAACCTTACCACAGTGTTGTTAGTAGCAAAATAACATAATATAATGGTACTTAGTAACCTTACCACAGATGTCGTGTTAGCAAACTAACCAGTAATATAATGGTACTAGTAACCTTACCACAGTGTTGTAGTAGCACTAACCAGTAATATAATGGTACCTTAGTAACTTACCACAGTCTTGTAGTAGTAAATGACCAGTAATATAATGGTACTTAGTACTTACCACAGTGTTGTAGTAGCTACTATCCAGTAATATAAAGGTACTTAGCTAACTTACACAGTGTTGTTGTAGCAACTATCCAGTATATAATGGTACTAGTAACTTATCACAGTGTTGTGGTAGCAACTAACCAGTAATATTAATGGTACTTAGTAACTTACCACAGTGTTGTTAGTAGCAACTAAACCAAGTAATATTAAGGTACTAAGGATAACTTACACAGTGTTTGTTGTAGCAACTTAAACCAGTAATATAATGGTACTTAGTAAACATACCACAGGTTGTAGTCAGCAACTAACCAGTAATATAATGGTCTTAGTAACTTACCACAGTGTTGTAGGTAGAATCTAACCAGTAATATAATGGTACTTAGTAACTTTCCACAGTGTTGTAGTAGCAATAACCAGTAATATAAAGGTACTTCAGTAACTTACCACAGTGTTGTCAGTAGCTAATAACCAGTAATTTAATGTCTTAGTTAATCTTACCACAGTGTTGTTGGTGGCAACTAACCAGTAATATAATGGTACTTAGAATAACTTACCACAGTGTTGTAGTAGGCAACTAACCAGTAATATAATGGTACTTAGTTACTCCACGTGTTGTAGTAGCAAATACCAGTAATGATAAGGTACTTAGTAACTTACCACAGTGTTGTAGTTAGCAAACCTAACCAGTAATTTATGTACTTAGTAACTTACCACTGTGTTGTAGTTGCAACTATCCAGTAATATAATGGAATACTTAGTAACTACCACGTGTTGTAGTAGCAATAAACTAGTAATAATATGGTACTTAGTAACTTACCACAGTGTTGTAGTAGCAACTGACCAGTAGTATAATGGTACAATTTTACTTTTGTACATTAAACATTATTTTATACTTCTCATAACATTTTGTAGCATAATTTTCAAGTTTTTATATTCAACCCCAACCTTTATATTATACCATGTACCTGTGTACCTGTCTACCCTCTTACTATCATATTATAATCAAGACATTACCATTGTTATTTTTTTTACTATTATTCTTTTGGTACTTTAATTGTGAATTTTATTTTGTCAATTTAAAATCTAGGTATAATCTTGTTCTTGTCAACACCTATACCAGACTCTTTGCAATTGCAAGTTACCATTTCAATTGTATTTTTATATTTTACGTTTATATTATAATTCCTACAATTGCCCATATAACTTTGCTTTACCATTACTTAATTTTTAGTCCCTTATATGTTTTCTCCTTTATTTTAGCTTTATATAACTATCCTAGTTTATCTATTCACATTTGTTAAAATTAATAAAGTGCTATTTTTCGGTGCTAAAGTAGAATAAGTTCACAATTTTGCCAATTAATATTCCAAAGCTCATTTTTTTGATTACCACTTTAATTGCGTCACTACAACCTATTTAGTCCCTTTGTATTATAATTTTATACTATAATTCTACTTTAAAAAATTACCTTTTATAGTACTTACCTACTATCATATTCCAAGCTCCACTATTTGATTCCATTCACTTTATTTGTATTAGTCCCTTTAGCCTCATTATTTTACATTTGTTAAATAATCCAGCGTGCTAGTTTTTAGCTTAAGACTATTTACATTTGTTTTATCTTAATTCAACTATAGATTTTCAACTACAAATTTATGATTACAAGCATTGATCTGATTACCAACTTCTTTTTATGACTTAAATGAAAATATCAAACAGTAACTGTAATTACTACAACTGCAGAACAATCAAAGGCATTCTCAGTGCCAACAACAACAATTAACTATATTTAACTACAATATCAGATCTTTAAGCAAAGCATTACGCGATCACTATAGCATTACTAAAATTTCTTACATGCAATATGTCATCATTACACTAATGAAAACCGGTCTAAAGCTGTAGTACAGGATGTCTATGCATTCCTGGTTACACAGCCTTACACAACGTAGGGCCAGATTCAACAAGGGGGTGGCACAGCCATATACTACTCAGACCAACTAGAATGTATCAACTATTACTTGCCACAAGGGGTGAACATGGGGAATATATAATAGCTAAATTCAAATCAAAGTACCTACAAAAACCTCTAACATTGATAAAAACATTCCTACAGAGTTCCACAGTCAAACAATTAGCCAATTT